TAAGGGGTTTGAGTTAGGAATGTTCAACTGGTAAAGTCTTTGGAAATATCCCAAATTCCAAAAACTCCTGAAATGGAAATACTTCTGGTCCTAAGCATTTCAGATAAGGGATATTCAGATAAGGCATATTTATAATATTACTGATGGTACAGAGATAATAATAATACCTTATAAACAGGTTACTTTGGCTGAAAAATATTTGATGAGATTGATCTTCCATTTGTCCTTTTGCTTGTGATCTTTCACAGATTAAATTTATGTTAATAAAGTATTTTATGATGATGCTACTTTAGAAAATTAACTGCAATATTCCTTTTCAAATCATCTTTATCTACATTGTTAATATTTTTAAATTGTAGATTAATGTAATACCTTTATTTTATTTATGTTATTTTTATGTGATGATAAGGATCAAACCCAGTGCCTCACAAGTGCTGTCCACTGTGCTACATCTCCAGCCAAATTTATTATATTTAATTACATGTAAATATGCTCATATATTAACAGTATAGTAAACTATTTTGAAATGTGGCTGTCTTTGAGTTTGAGAAGGGGCAAAAAAAGGAAAATAATTTTGGAGTATTGGTAATGTTTGGAAACTTATTTTTAATTTATTGTATTTCTTTAATTCTTTTCTATTAGTAGATCAATAGAATGGTCTAGTGTATCTTTCATTGTTATTTCTCGCTTCTGTCTATGGGGTTTATCATGCAGAAGTATATTATCAGAAATTAATAATTACAAGGAAATGTTTTAATTTAACATCTGTACCAGATGTGACATATTTAAAACAATTGATAAACATTTTTCAGTGGCATATGGTCTGAGTCTGACATGCTTTGAAAAGAGTACAGAGTTCTGATAATGAGGATTCTGTGAAAATGGGAAAACCAGCATAACAGATATGCTTTGAGAAAGTATGGGTTTTTAGCATCTTGAAACAATATATCACACTCAAAGGGACAGAATTGGGCTCCACAATCTGTTAGCTCATTCTTGTCCAATCTGGTCTCCTCCTTTCTTTTGGAGCCAGTGTTGTCATCAGCTCACTGAATTATATTCTGACTGGAATGTATTTCAGGCACAGAGTAATGTGTCTACTTAAATGGAATCCTATCTTTCTATGAAAGTTTTTTGAGTATAATGAATTTAAAATATAAAAAAAATTCTATTAAGTTAAAGTAAGTGGTTCAACAGTTTACATATGTGCCTATTCCCCTGTTGCCCTAAAAAAAAGAAAGACCACTACTTTGAGCAACATAGATGTTTTTCTTTTATGTATAATTTTGAGTAAATTTTTATTTAACTATTAGGTGGTTAGACATATTGCAAAGGCTGTTTATTATGAAAATACCTACACATTATAATAAATGTTTAACAGAAATTAACAGGAATAAAAAGTTCTCTATTGAAGTTTTTTATTATGATTATTACTAATTCTGTACAGCCCTTCTTAACAAGAATTAAGCCTTAATGCCCTTAGGCATCCATTTTTTTGTAATAAATAAACTTGTCTCCTACCCATCTAGTATGGTACTAGCTATTCTTGGAAAAGTTGAGATGGTAACCCAAACATTTTCGGTGGACACAGGTCTTTATTTTTTTTTATTTTTATGTGGTGCTAAGGATCGAACCCAGCGCCCCACGCATGCCAAGCGAGCGTGGTACTGCTTGAGCCACATACCCAGCCCACTATAGGTCTTAATTTTGTTATTCAATCAGGATTGAGAAAGGCTACTGTATTAATATTCAAAATCACTGAGACTTTTAATGTGAATCATACAGAGTTGTACAAATTAATTAGATGTTATGTTAGAACTATATTACCTTATATAAAGGATTAAATGAGATAATCTTTGTAAAGAGATAAACACAATGCCAGACACATTGTAAGTGCTCATAAATGACATCTATTATCATATTTTAAGCTTTCATTGTCTGAAAATTTTCCTAAAAATTTTTGGTTGTATTATGATGTTTTGATCAAGAAGAAATTTAGTTTGAACTACAGAAATAGTTTTAAGTACAGTAAAATGTGTGATTTGATCCAAGAAATTATATTTTCAAATTTATGTAGGGTGTCTTACTCATTTTATGCTTAATAATTGAGTAACAACAATAAATTTTGTTTTTTTATTCCGATAATTCATAATTTATCCACAGAAACCATCTAATAATAAATGAAGTATTTTTTTGTGATTGTCCTCATGAGCATTTTAAGTCTTTGCCATTCAAATATACAAATAATTTCTTTTTACTGTATTGATTTATGTGAGAGTGGGCGTGGAAAGAATGAGAAATAGCTAGCCTTCCCTGATGCAAAGACAGGATGTTATTAATGCTTCTCCAGACCTCCTGCCATAGGATCCTTTCACTTTTCTTTGAAAAATGATACATTATCTTTTAGGTATGATTGGCATTGCCATGGGGCACTATTAAATACACAAGTTATATGTAGCTACTTGAGTTACAAAGCTGAAAAAAAATCCATGGAAGTAATTTTTAGCACAAGAACATCAGTGAATAATTCCTGACAGTGTAAATTGAAGATACTTTATGCAATGAACAAAAAGAAAATGGGTAATAAGCACTTTCTTGAGAATGGCTAACATAATTTACAAAACGAGCACCTTTCTTTATAGTATACACTTGAAGACAGCTTACATATGCTAATTTTAAAGTAAAGTTTATTTATGTTAATATATCTCCATATTCCTGTTTAGAGGTTCATAAAGTAAATAATGTGGAAATATCAGGTGACCACAGTGTATTATGAAATAATAAACTGCTGATACTGCATTTAACTCAGTGAAAGTTGATAAGTAACATAACATTTCTGATGTAGATGTCATTAAAATATCGCTTAGTTGGTGCAGTACTTTTTATATACTCATTATCAAGCTAACCTTCCTATTTTATGGATTATTGGTGTAAAACAGCTTGTTTATACATAAATATGCTTTTTAAGTTTCTTTTTGATTATTGAAAATAAAATAAGGACAAAAACAGTTGAAGTAAAGAACTATATAGCCAATGTTTCTAGTATAATTGATTAATCATTAGGAAAAAATGCCTGGTTTTTCACTATAATTTCTATATGGCAATTTGATCTTATGCATTTTTACCAAAATGAAATAGCCAATTGAAGTTTTTCTAATTGAAGATTTTGAACTACTTAATGATTTATGCATAGCCAGAAAATTAAATGAGAGGAGGAGGTCAATAGAAGAGGAAATAGAAATGAGATCTGAATGTTAGTTTTTCATACTTCTATTTCACGTGTATAAAAACTATCCATGCACTTATTTCCATGTTCTTCTCTACTATTGAATACTGTTGCGATGTGATGATAAATCTGTAGAAATAACTGAAATTTCTCCTTCTTTTAAATTCTCGTATTTTTTCAGATTACTTGTTCTCTGCATTACTCCCCTCATGGAGTTGCCCAGAAAGAACTTCCTGTGTTGCACCTTAGGTCATTCTCTGCTTTAAGGACAAGTTGAGATCTGTCATTAAACAAATCTACTTAGTTTTTTACAAGGAATAAGTTTTATAAAATAATAAGAAGCAAAAGAAGATGATGATGATTAGCGTCTTGTTGCCAGTCATTCCACTTGTATTTGCATTGAGTATTTTCCATGTATAATGAAAAGTGATAGAATATTCAAAGGTATTTATAGAATATGAGTTTCAAAAACCATTTAGACATATTACAATTTAGTGAGCTAAATTGAGGCTGGAAATAAAATCTGTCTAAAAATATTTTTAAAAAGTAGAATATGAAAAAAATTTCAATATAGTAAAGTTACTATTTATAATAGATAAGGAATTATATAACCAATGTTTCTAGTATAATTGATTAATTATTAGGAAAAATAAACTGGTTTTTCACTATAATTTCTATATAAAAAGAAGTTACAAGTAATTATTTAAACTTAAAAATTAAATTATAACAAGTTGAAAAACTAACAGATGAATATTATTGTATGTTTTTGAGGAAAACTTTTCTAAGCAATAAGATATAAGGGAATAATTTAAAACTTCATGTCCATAAAGTTAAAAATACATGTAAGTAAAATGAAGTATGGAAAGAGCTGGATAAAGATATTTATATAATGGAGACAGAATGCATGTACACTATCACAAGTAATAAGAAATAAGCTATTATATCCACTTAATATGAAAAAGTCATTTACAAAAGAAAAAATCTGTGAATATGAAAAGTGTTTAACTACACTATTGATCAAACAAATACAGAGTAAGCAAAAATATCCCAGTTTAATATCTACTGATATTTAGAGTTTTTAAGAGTAAAGTAACATGGAGATACTGATATGTTTATATGCTTCTCTATAAAATCAATTTTGAATAATCATGAATGTCCTTAAAACATATTCATATTCATACCTATTACAGAATATTTATATTGGGCTAAGAGGATCTGTTAATACACAGCCTTGAGGAAAATTAAATGCATATGTAAGACTGCTATTATTATTTCTAATATACAGATAAAGATACTAAGGCTCAGAGAGGCCATGTGACTTGTTCAAGCTCACAAAGTTTACTAAGAAAATGAAAGTTGGAAAAATTTATGTACATCTAGGGGGATATGACTGATTCTTTTGTCATTTTTATATATATTTTCTAAATTTCTGACACTAAGCCAAAAGGAGGACTAGGACTTTTATATAACAAGAGATGAAGGGAGACACAAATATTATAGGCAATATCGTATCATTTGTAATAGTTTTTAATCATTAAGAGGATAATCCCATTTGTCTACAGATTTTTTCCTTGTTTCATAAAAATAAGATAACATTATCTGCATTTAATTTAGAACATATATTCTTACCAACTATTCTTTTTAATGAACTTTAATCAAAGCTGTAAACATAATCTTCATTTTATGCCCATACAATGTCATAAAAAATCAAATCTTAAAATGAAAAATTTTAAGTTAATACACCTACATCTTGTTATTTTATTTTCATTTTCAGATGGAAAACATAATTGGAACAGTACGAGATTCCAACCTGAAGTTGACACTTGCTTTTGGAATAGGAATGCATCATGCTGGCCTCCATGAAAGGGACCGAAAAACAGTAGAGGAACTATTTGTGAACTGTAAAGTTCAGGTACTTTTTTTCTCCAATGAGTACGTATTTAAAAGTAACCTAAAAGTTATATGTTACTTAGATATAATATTATCTTTTATTTTTAGGTTCTTATTGCTACAAGCACGTTAGCCTGGGGTGTAAACTTTCCAGCTCATTTAGTAATTATTAAAGGAACAGAATATTATGATGGAAAAACAAGACGTTATGTAGATTTTCCCATTACAGGTAATTTTTTTCAATTTACAGAGATACATTAAGTTTCCTGTTTAGCTTTAACAACTTAAATTTTCATGAGTTAATATTTGTACCTCCTATTTTAGCCTTTACAATTTAAATGGACTCAAGCATGCTAGACAAGTGCTTTATCACTGAGAAATACCCCATTCCTTTTTGTTTTATTTTACAACAGGATATCACTCAGTTGCCCATCCTGGCCTCAAACTTGTGACCCTCTTGCCTCAACGTCTCAAATAGCTGGGATTATTAATTGATTTTATTGAGAATTGGTCACATTTAAACATACAGTAAGCAAATTTGTAATAATAATAGAATGCAAAACACTGAGCTGTTTTATTTACTTTAACTTACCCAATTTGTTAATAAGCACTAAAAATATAACTGATTCTTCCAAATTCATAAAGTACTATGAGAAATTATTAGTGATAAAAATTTTTTTGATTAAGCATTTAGTGTTTAATTTTAAATCCATTTCACCAGAAATGATAACTTCCGTGGGACTTCCAGAACCAAAGCACTTATTGCTATAATGAATGCATGAGCAGTCTATTAAGATATTTTAAATTTTAATAAAGTCATTTTCAGTTGGTTTTGAAGAGGGATATATATTCAATATACATTTCTACTCAATGAATACATGTAAAACTCTATCATTTTTAAGCCATTGTTTATGTCAGATTCCTGCAGTATAAAAGAATTTTTATCCCATGGACAGGAAAAAGACAAGGCCTAAATAAATACATTATTCATTGTAGAAAATAATAAAAGGGCTTCACTGAAGAGATTTTTCTATATAAGTTTTATGTTTTTCTGTTTAATTAAAATAGTAACATTTCTTACCCAACGTCTTTAATCATTTAACTAAAGGAGACTTTCATCTTTTAATAGTGCCAAATACCTTTTGCGGAACTCAATATTACAACATAGTAACTTTCTAATTTGTCCTAAATTTTCTGAGTAAATTATATTAACTTAGCAAACTTAATAATAGCCATCACAAATAGAATATGTGCTCTTAAAATATTGTTTCCTTTGTTATTTTGTTGTAGAAGCATGCCTTCATCATTAATTCATACCTTCTTCCACGTGCCACTTTGTAGAATATCTCTTGTTTTACAGATGTGCTCCAGATGATGGGAAGGGCTGGGCGCCCTCAGTTTGATGACCAAGGCAAAGCTGTAATTCTGGTTCATGATATTAAAAAAGACTTTTACAAAAAATTTCTGTATGAACCTTTCCCAGTAGAATCAAGGTAAATTTTGCTTTAAATTAATTTAAATGGATTTATTTTGTAGAAAGTTTTAGTGTTTTTCTGATTACATTTTACTACTTAAAAATGAGTAAAACTTGTAGTATAAAAAAATTACTAACTGTGAAACATTGTAATTATCCCAATAATACTTAATGATAATTTTTATTTTTAAAAAATAACATTTTAAGGGGCTGGGAAATGGCTCAGTTGGTAGAGTGCTTGCCTAACATTCACAAGGCTCTAGGTTCAATCCCCAGCACCACCAAAAAGAAAAGAAAAGAAATCTTAAAAATAAATAAATAACATTTTAAGAGAACAAATACAGTACCATGTGCAGCCAAATTGGCTCTGGAGTCAGATGACCTGGATTGAAATCTGAGCTCGGCCACCTGTTTGCTCAATATTGAGCAAGTTATTTAATTTCTCAGTGCCATGGGCTGCCTATCTGTAAATGAAAATTATAACCATACCAATTATCTCACAGTGTAATTGTAATGTTTAAATGAATACTGCTTGAATCATTGTCTATTATATAGTAAGCATTTTGTAAAGTATTAGTTTGATGAGAGTTTTAAAAATAGAGTTAATATCTAAAATAAGGGGTATGTAATTAATAATTTAGGTTGCTAATTTATTTCAGAATTATCCCATACTTCTTTATGGGCCCAATAACTACTACTCCTGCTGCAAAATCTTCCCTCATTTTCATGGTTGAAAATAACCCTTTCTTCCTCAGATTTATATTTTCTCATATACAACACTTTTCACATTCTACCTTTTATCATAGTGCTTTTCTATATACTCTCCTTTACTTTAGTATAGTCTAACTGCATTGAGGACAAACATGTTTTTCATTTATATTGTAAGTTGTTGAGTTTTTTAATCCTAAATGCAAATAATGTTTGTTTTTTTAATTTGAAAAATAAGCATTAAATGTTGTGGAATACAGCTAAAACTATGCTAAGAGAAAAATTATGACCAAAAATTTATATGTTAAAAAAGAAAAAATGAAAAATTAGTTATCAAGATTCTGTCTCAAGAATTTGAACATCAGCAAATTGAACTCAAAGCAAGACAACATAAAGACAAGAGCCCAGTGTGGTGGCTCATGCCTATAATCCTAGTGGCTCAAGAGTGAGGAAAGAAAATCGCATGTTTAAAGCCAGACTCAGCAACATAGCAAGCTCCTGTTTCTAAATTAAAAAATAAATAAATAAATAAATTAAATAAAGGGATGGGGAATATGGCTCAGTTGTTAAGCACCTCTAGACCTCTAGGTTCAATCCCTAGTATAAAATAAGTAAATAAGAGCAAGAATTAATAGATTAACAATAAACATGGATCAGAGAAAAGTAAAAAGTGCCAGAAATTGGTTCTTTGCAAAAGATGACTTAAGACTGATAATCGAATCTCAATATTAGGAATGAAATGATACTATAGATAGTAAAAGGTAATAAGATAATATGAACCACTTTATATAATAATTTTTAAATTTTGGATCAAATGGTAAAATTTCTCTTTAATCATTCATTAAAACTGACCCAATAATAAAAATCTCAAATTACCTATCAAAGCAATTGAGTCTTAAATTTAAGATCTTTTTACAAAGAAATCTTCTGACCCAGATGCTTAAGTAAATTGTTCATAGCATTTAAGGAAGAAATAGCATCAGGTTTAAATGAAACTCTTCCTCCTAGAAAACATAGGCATATTTGCCAGCTTTTTTTAATCAGACCAGAATAGTTTGAATGACAAAACCTAATAAGAAATTTATAAAATAGGAATGTAACAAACTGTATCTCTCATGAATACAGATGTAGAAATTCTAAACAAAATTTTAGTAAATCACCCTAAGATGTATGAAGACACGAATGGTGTGACTCTACTTCATGTATAACCAGAAACATGAAAAATTGTGCTCTATGTGTGTTCTTTGAATTGAAATGCATTCTGACATCATATATAATGAATTAGAATAAATAAATAAATTTTAAAAACATATAAATGCATCAAAATTATGTTTAAAATGTCACGATACACTTTTGTATCTCCAAAAAAAAAAAAAGTAAATCAAAACCAGCAATACATAAAAATACATTACAGCCAAATATGGTTTGTTTCTTAAATATGAAGATTATTTGTTATTTGAAAATAGATGAGTATAATTAACATTAACAGAAAAAAAAATGAGAAAAACCTCATGATTATCTCATCAATGTTTTTAAAAAAAGCATTTGACAAAATTCCATACCGATTCATAATAAAAAAAACAACAACATTGCAAGCAGGCATATAAATGAATCTCCTTAATCTTATGGGGTATCTACAAAAAATCCACTGTAAGCATAATAATTAATGAAGAAATCAAAAGTTTTCCCTTTTGAGAAAACTGTATATCCTTATGTAGAAGAATGATATTAGATCCCTATCTCTTACATTGCACAAAAGTCAACCCGAACTAAATCCAAGACTTAGGAATTAGACAAGAAACTTTGCAAGTGCTAGAAGAAAACGATAGGTCAACATGTCAACATTGGCATAGGCACCAACTTCCTTAACAAAGACTCCTTAAGCCCAAGAAATAAAATGAATCATTAAGTGGGACAGCATCGAATTAAAAAGCTTTTGTATAGCAAAGGAAATTGTTTGAGAGTATGAAGAAAGGGGCCTACACAATGGGAGAAAACCTTTGCCAGCTATTCCTCTGATGGAGGATTAATATCCAGAATATATAAATAACTCAAAAATATTAACACCAAAAAATAAATAAGTAAACCAATTAATAAATTGGGAAAAAAACTAAACAAACTTTTCTCAAAAGCAGAAATACAAATGGCCAACAAATATATGAAAAAAATGATCAATATCCCTGACAACCAGGGAAATGCAAATCGAAACTACATTGAGATTCCATCTGAATCCAGTTAGAATGGCAGTCATCAAGAATAAAAATAATAATAATAATAATAATAATAATAATAAATATAAATAATAATAAATGCTTGCTAGAATGTTGTGGGCGGTACACTCATACATTATGGTAGGTTTGCAAATTAGATCAACCACTTTGGAAAACAGTATGGAGATTCCTCCAAAGAATAGAAATAGAACCACCATATGCCCCAGCTATCCCAGTCCTCAGTATTTATCCAAAAGAATTAAAATCAATACACTGTACTGACACAGTCGCATCCATGTTTATAGCGGCACAATTCACAATAACCTAATTATAGAACCAACCCAGGTGCCTATCAGCAGATGAATAGATAAAGAAAATGTGGTATTTGTACATAGTAGAGTTTTACTCAGTCATGAAGAAGAATGAAATTATGACATTTGCTAGTAAATGGATGGAATTGAAGAACATGCTAAGTGAAATAAACCAGACTCAGAAAGTGAGGGGTCAAATGTTTTCTCTCATATGTAGAAACTAGACTAAAATAAGGGAAAAGGGGGAAGGGTGGAAACCCCATGAAAATAGAGGAGAGATCAGTGTAAATAGAAAATTGGGATTAAGCAGTAGGATGAGGGACAGGAAATGGAAGGAACTGCAGGATGAAATTGACCAAATTATGCTGTGTACATATATGAATATAGCACAGTGAATTTCACCTTTATGTTTATCTATAAGGCACAAATTAAAACAATAAATAAATAGAAGGAAGACCAATATAGTAGAGGAAGGAAAATAGGGAAGGGAAGAGGGGAGGAAAAGAGGACGCACTGGAGCAAAAGTGAAACAAATTAAATTCCATGCATGTATGATTATGTCAAAATGAACCCAACAATTATGTTTAATGCACTAATAAAAACAGTTTTTTTAAGTTTTCCCTTTAAAATAGGGAATGATAAAGAGGAGTGTTGTAGCCAGGTACAGGTCGCACGCCTGTAATTCCACTGGCTCTGGAGGCTGAGAGAGGAGGATTGCGAGTTCAAAGCCAGTCTCAGCAAAAAGTAAGGCACTAAGCAACTCAGTGAGACCTTGTCTCTGAATTAAAAAATACAAAATAGGGCTGGGCATGTGGCTCAGTGGTCGAATGCTCTTGAGTTCAATCCTTGGTGCCCCAACCCCCCCCAAAAAAGGAAGTTGCTTATATCACTTTTTGGTAAACATTGTGATAGAGTCATATGCTACTATAATAGGATAAGAAAAACAAAAGTTAGAATATCCCTTTGAGCAAGGTAGTAAAAGCATACATATCAGGATGGTTTTCTGGGGCACTACCAATGCTTGATCTTGGTGTTGGTTATACATGTTCACATTGTGAGAATTAATTGATTTAAAGACATATAATTTGTGTAGTTTCTCTGTGTATACTTCACTATAAATCTAACTACATTTTTTAATTTCATACCTTGATATGGCCCTTAATATTTTATCCATTGTAGAATATTCCATAGTTTATTTATTCATTTCTCTATTAATGTGTATTTAGAAAGTTTCCAACTTTTTCCTCTTGTGTGTAATGTTGGAGTAAATCATTTTACTTTTCTGACCTCACAGGTTAATGTTTCTTTATCGGGTCTTCATGAAAAAGTGGAATTGGCTGGATCATAGTGATTATTCCAATAGATATTGCCAAGTTGCTCTCCAAAATAACTGTACCCATCTCTATTCAACTACTGGTGAATTGAGAATAATGGCCACTTTTTTATTAATGTATATTAATTAGTGATTTTTTACATTCATTTTTTTCTGATCATTTTCTCATTTCGTTGCCAAAGTTATTTTTATTATCCCATGAATCATAATTTATTTAGTGTTTTATTTTCTTAGGCATTGCTTACTTCTATTTGGTTTTTGTTGTTGTTGTTGTTTGGTGGTGGTGGGTTTTTTTGTTTTGTTTTGTTTTGGTGTGTGTGTGTGTGTGTGTGTGTTCAATGCATTGAACCTGGGGGATATACCACGGACTTACATTCCCATCCTTTTTTTTTTTTTTTTTTAATTTTCAGACAAGGTTTTGCTATGTTGCCCAGGCTGGTCTCAAACTTGTGATCCTCCTACCTCAGTCTCCTGAGTCACTGAGATTATGTGGGTGTAGCACCATTCTTAACCTTTTGTGTGTTGTATATAAGAAAATAAAATGAACTTTTTTGCAAGTGTTTCACCACATCTGAAAATCTTCGTATATTCCACAATACCTAATATAATAATGTCTTCTTATATATCCAGGCACTTAATGTTCACCAAATAAATTTTTTAAAAAATCTTTGCTCACGCCTCTCTCCTATCATCCCTTTCTTGCCAATGCTCCTTTAATCTGTCCCAGTATTTATTCCATACCCTCTCGAGTACTTTATAAGTATGCTTTTCCTGTTGTCTGGTCTTACCCTCTCTCTTGACTCTTCTTCTGAAAGTTACTAGTTTACTTCCTGTCAGCCTATGTTTATTTTCCATCTAGTAATTTATTTCCCTAGAATGACTTGTAGCAGTAAGTGCCTCCTATTGCATACCTACAATATGACTACTAGTAATGGCTTTCAACAAGTTATTATTACTTAGTTTATTCTAGGAAAATATCATGTTATTGTAGTATTTTTGTGAGACTCTGTCTCTCTGGCCCACTTCTTATTCACATTCAAATAAAAAATAACATACTTTTTGAAAAGAAAACAAGCATAAATTTTTATGTGCTAGTTAATAATACAAGTTCCTAAGCTCATAATACTAAGTGATTTTTGTGGTGAAAGGACATTGTAAATGTCCCCCAAATCCCCACAAAATAATTTGGAAAGAATTACTCACAAATTATACAATACACAAAATATATAAATTACACAAAACACATTTGTATCTTAGAATGTAAAATCTGAATCTAGACTATTTGAGATAAATTAAGTGTACTTTGTTTAATGGTCATACTTATTTTCCATGCCTTATCCACTATGCAGCTTATTAGGAGTGCTATCTGACCATTTAAATGCAGAGATCGCTGGTGGTACAATAACATCTAAGCAAGATGCAATGGACTATATCACCTGGACTTACTTTTTCCGACGTCTTATCATGAACCCCAGGTAAGTGCAGGGCTTTTTTGAAAAGAAATTATCTTTTTGTTTTACACTGGAACAAGATGTATTTGAAATTAATAAACTCTAAAATTGAATACATACAAAAAAAGTTAGAACTTTGGACTTTGTAGGTCTATGGATTTGTCCAAAAAAGTCAGATTTGTCCAAAAATTCTGATGTAATCGCATTGTATTATATCAAAAATCAATTGGTTATGTGTTTTTGATAACTTCACTTATTTTAATTATCTTAAAGATATTTTGAAGAGTTTGCTGTTTAGTTGGGAGTCAATACATCTGAAGCCCTTTGGAAATGTGTGAAACTATGGTAGTGAAAAAATTAGGGATGGGGTTGTGGCTCAGTGATAGAGCACTTACCTTGCATGTGTGAGGCATTGGGTTCAATCCCCAGCACCCACATAAAACAACTAAACAAAATAAAGGTATTGTGTTCATCTACAACTAAAAATATTTTTAAAAATTTAAATTGGGGAGTGGTAGATAATTTTTATTCTTGACAGTATGTTATATCTTCATTTAGCCCCTGCTATTATCTAATATCATGCTAAACGCTTAGATGTAAAGATAAGTATAACATCCCGTATCTTCAAGTACTGATGGTATAGTATGAAAAAACACATATATGGAACAGGAGTAGTAATAGGTAGAAAGCATTCAGACAGAAAAATACTGTCAGAGCAAAAAAGTCTCAGGGATTGAGTCAAGTATTTAGAAAATATGAAAAAGATTGATGTACCTTAAGGAATATAGAGATTGTCTTGACAAGAAAGTGTGCGAAGACCAGAGGGTAAAGGATCTGTTGACTGTGTATATCTGATCCTATTGGAATCCTAATGGAATGACCCATTAGAAGTTCTTAAACATGGATTGATGTCACCAATTTAGTTTTTATTTCAATACCTATGATACTATAGTAGGGAATCCAATGGAATGGGGAGAAAATATACCAGTTAGGAAGTTATTTAATGATAAGATGAGAACTTTAACATGCAGAGGCAGTGAAGTAAAGGTGGAATTTGAGGGATGTGCTGAAGTAAGAAAAAGAAAATTAAAAAAACATTGCAAGGCCTTCAATAGAGAGACCCTAAGATATGATGCTCCACTCTGCTTTTGATGAAGTTACAGTTTTATTTTTTCACCATCCTTTTGACTACTGCCATATGAACTTCCCACCGTCATTTCAAATGTACCATGTATAAAACTGACTTAATGATAAAATCATCAAAATCCTCCACTAATCCAACTTTATTACTTTTGATAATATTATCACTGTATCTGTTTGCCCTAACTTCACACTCCAGACTTGCATTTTAATTTTCACTCTCCCTTGCAGTTCTCCAACTGCTTAACCTGCTTTTAGTCTATCCCTAATCTAGTCTCATTTGTAAACCATTAAATAGTATTGATCAGAAATTAAATGAATTATACAAGAGTTGGAAGCCAGATGAGGTTAGTTTTCTTTAAAATTAGATAATAAGAAGGAAATTGCCCAGTGTTTACATTTTTTTTCAACCATGAGAGTGAAATGAGTCAAGAGCACAGTTGGAAACACCATTCAGAATAGGGGTCCCACAGAGAAAGAACTGGAGTAGGCATCACTCCTGTTGCTCTAGTTAGAAACTGTCTTCTATGTAATAATACTTTGGGTAATAAACAGTAGTAATTAAGAGCAGAACAACGAGCTCAGGGAAGAGACTTATCACAGTAGACAAAGGATGAAATTTTGAGAGGAAATTATACTAAGCTTCTGTTCCAGGGAATTTCTTGAGTTTTGGCATTTGTATGTCTCCTGCTTACTCATGTTTGTAATCAGTGTAGTCCATGTAAATAAACAAATATTCCTTGGTTCACATTGCCTCCCCTACTTGATATCTGATAGACATCTAAGGAAATTTGGTATTGACAGTATGTTATATCTTCATTTAGTAATGACTTTGCTTAGAGTACTTAGTACATGTGGCAGCTGCTTTTCCTGTCCTCCTACTGCCCATAGGAGGATCAGATGTCCTACCACCGCCACCAAAGGGTTACAATCAATTGAGGGAGACATTAACTCACATACTTCTAAGTAAGAGGTTTCTCTCACTGGTGCTCTTGTGATCACTCTTCTTCGTGCCTACAGTATCTAACCCATCTAGCCCTGGCAGTCTTAAAAGTCCAGTCATACATTGATAAATGCAGCTTGAATTGATTTCCAGGAGGTGAAAGTTTATCTACTCTTGATCATCCATATCATATATATTGGTTCCCTTTAGTAGCTGCCTATGCATATTTTGAGATACCCCTAAAAAAGAATATGCAGTACTCATGTAAATTTTATTTATAAAAAATTACTATAAAAAAAGACCACACAAAGCATCTCAACTTATTTCAAAGTTTAGAGATCAATGCATTCTCAGTACAAAATGTAACAAAATTGAATATCCCCTATGCTAAATGCTTAGGAACAGAAATATTTGGATTTCAGATTTTGGGAGGTTTCGGAATATCTATTTACATATACATAAATGAGATATCTTGGGAATGTGATTCGAGTCTAAACACAAATTCATTTATGTGTCTTAAACTTTATATACATGCTGAAGGTAAGGTTATTCAGTATGTTTAGTATGCCTGCATTTTGACTGTTACCTTATCACATAAGGTGAGGTGTGGAATTTTCCTCTTGTGACTTTGTATCATTGGTCAAAATATTTTATATTTTGAAGCATTGCAGATTAGGTTTGTTCAATCTGTAAAACCAGAAATAGACAATAAAAAGAATGATAAACAAATTCTAACTATTTGAGATTTTAAAATATTTATTCCAGTGAAAGTTAAAATCAAATAAAAGACTAGAGCTATTAAAAAAAAAAAATAAGTGTTCCATAGCAAACAAAGCTCCTGGATTCAAACAAAAGCACAGTTCCAAGGAATATTTAGACCTTTAAAGACCTAAAAAATAAAATGATTAAGCATTCATCTCAAAAGAAACTATATGAACAACAGTAGCAGAGCATAAATATAGGAATTTATAAACATAAAATGAAATTAATAAATCAGGAAACAATAATTCTCACTAGCAATTATTATTGAGTGTCTACTGTATTTGAGATGTTATTTCAAGAGCTTAACTCATTTAGTACTGTATGATCTCCCTTCTATATATGAAGTAACTGAAGTAAATGAAAAGTAAGCAACTTTCTCACAATAACACAGCTCATGAGTAGCAGAAGCAATACTGGCATTCCATCACATTTGCTGTCACTGGGCTCATTATCAGGTCCAGAGCTCAATCATTCACTCCCTGTCCACTTCTCTTCCAGTGCTATGCTGAAAAGTTTCTTGATTTAAACCATATGGTACTAATTTTCAGTGTATGACAATCATGTTCATTTGATGCTATCTCCCAAACCATAAATGGTCAGTTTTAATGTGTATACCTTCACATGGAGATAAAAATGGAAAACTGGGCCTAAAATAAGTTTAACAATTTACATATTTTACCTAATAAGCTGTAATCAAATTTTGCTACTTTCTTTCTAATTGACTTTTTAAAAAATTGCCATAAACTTTTGTATGTGGAATTCTAAGTTTCTTTTTCTCCATTTTAATTGACAAATAATATCTATATTTATGGGATAAATGTGAGATATTTCAATACATGCATACATTGTAAAATGTTTTCTGCATATAAGTGAGGTTATGCAATATTTGTCTCAGTCCCTGACTTATTTCTATTAGCATAATATCCTCTATATTCATTTCATGTTGTTGCAAAAGCAAGTATTTTGTTCTTTTTTTATGGCTGAATATATTACATTGTATATATACCACATTTTTTAATCCATTTATCTGTCAATGAACATTTGGATTGTTTCCATAATTTTGCTATTATGGATATAATAATAGCTACAATGAATATGGGGAGTTCCATATACTGATTTCAGTTTCTTTGGGTATATAACCAGTAGTAGGATTGTTGGATCATATAGTAAATCTATTTTTAGTTTTGTTAGGATCCTACATACTGTTTTTCAAAATGTCTTTAGTAATTTAAATTTCTACCAGTATTGCACAAAGGTTCACTTCACATACTCATGACTGCCTCTTAATTATATTTTTTCATTACTGTGTATGTTAAAATCTTCTTTCCACAAAGCTGCAAGCAAACAAAGGCACAGGAGTTGAGAAAATTGGTAAATTTTTTCTACTTATTTTTCAGATCTACTTAAAGTATTACAAAGGCTAACATCAGTGTCTCAAATGAAAGGCTTGTATTCTGTGTAGTTTTAATTTTTCCTTAATACTCCCTATCATCCAGTGACATAAATTGAGATTTGACCTTTCTTGGGTGGGAAGAGAATATATGCAAGCTCATCTGCCTGCATATGTGTAACAGACAAGTTTATTTAATCATTGAAAAGGAATGCTGTTTTCAAAATATGGTCACACATAGATAAATAAAGATGACCTGATGTTCCAGCCCCTGTCAGTTGTACTGTAAAGCCCCCATCATACCACATCCAAAGTAAAACTTCTGTTGGTGAAGATTTTGCCCATTGTTCCTCAGCTGCTCATGATTTCTGTTTATATTCCTATGCGTGTGTGTATTTTATATATATATGTGTGTGTGTAGTGTGTGCAAATACATACCTATGTACATATAAGGATATAAATTTTGCATAAATATGTGTGCACACACATACATATATACATTTGCTTGTTCAAATGTATATAAACAGATGTGCTGCTTTCATAAAGTATAATATATTCCAAGTTGAGTTCTGGATTCAATTTGTATTTTCAGTTTTAGTCTTCGTTTTTCCCTTGAGAACGCTTTTAAATATTTCTAGGGCAAATTTTTGTGATAGTTTCAGCTGTCCCTGCAACCACTTTCATTATTTGTGTCATTATTACTGCTGCATAATCTGAACATAAAAAAACATGGTGCTGTAACAAATGACTTCTCAGTACTGACAGTTATAGCAGCAGCATTTCAATACTGATGAAAAATTTCCCAGCGAGATATCTGGCCAGGTTTACATAAACCAAACAGGAAATGGCTGCCACTATTCACATTAAATCCAAACTGTTTGGTGTAACTTTTGCTATGTTTTACATTACTATAAAATCTCTTTCATTCCCAGTTGATGAAATTTCATCTGTATTAAGGTTGAAAAAAGATAACTTTGAGATTTCATGTCTGGTGTTCTTGTTTGTCCTTTAATAATATCTTGTAAAGATAATTTTTGAAAAGTTGTTCTAGTTTTCGATTGTTTAAATTTTATGAACTTTGTAAATTTTTATGACAGGGAGAGGTTTGTTATGACTTTGTCCCAATGGACTGCTAATAGAAGTTAGCCTGTCTAGCCCATGTGCTAGATGCTGTCAGTATCAAACTGCCTTTGACTTTCACACCTCTCAGGGGACTAGTAATTGTTGTGTTCAAACAGCCTGTAATTGTGATCCCGCTGGCTTTCTCAGTACGCTTCTGGCTATTAGAATCATTAAACAACTCAGCACCTGTTAACAGCATTGTAAATATTCAACCCTGCTTGTGTGCAGGTTGAGTCCAATATACAGAAATCTTACAGAGCTCAGTCTCATAAATTAGAGCTTCTGACAAGTCAATTATTGTGAAACTGGGTTTCTCTGTGAAATAAATGAAATAGCATGCTGACAAAAAGGTAGGCTGTTTATAGCAAAGGGAAGATAATGACTTGATGATTCAAAGCACTGGGCATGAAACTACATTGTATCCTTTATCTGTAATTAAACAGTTGCATAAATTTTCTGTTTAAACAACCTGTAAATTATAAATTTTATACTGTGGAGAATACAACATGAAAACAGACCTTTTTACTTAGCTGTTGTATGCTTTTTCAAGTTGGTAAAGGGATTATTGAAATGAGTGATAAGTAATATTTTAAGATAAATGCTTATACTTGTTCAGGCTAGAAATTGTATAATAGCTGAAAAGTTCATTCAACAAAAGTAAAGGCCATATTGTGCTGTAAATACAGATCATATAAATCTAAACTCCGTTCTTTACTCACACAAAAGTGTCCAAGTATATGAACTCTAAAGTGTCGAATATATGAACTCTCAAAAATCTATGTGTATCCTAAAAAATAATTTAATTTAAATTTAGTTTTATTATTTTACTATGATTGCAAATTATATAGCTAATTAAGATGTAACATTTTAATTTTAAAGGATTTAAAAATTTTAAGTGACCTTAGCCTTCATTTCAAATGCTAGTAAAGAATATTTGGAAAAGATCAGTGAAGTTCAGTTACCTGAATTGAATTTTGCACCACTTCTTGTAAATTCATTAGGATTTTGGTGAGCAAATTTGGGAATAAAATTTTTAAATGAATATCAATGATTTTTATGCTTTTCTATTCAAATAACTATTAAATTTTAATAAGCTAGATTATTAGTAATATTTTAATAAGGTCATCAGATAGTATGTTATAGAGAGACATAATTTTAGTTGGCTTTTCTTTGTTTTGCCAAATTATGTTTAAATGTTTACACTAACTGTATTATCTAGGTGAAAGCTATTATTGATCATTTAAAAAAAAAAACAGAAAAAGTCTCCTAATAGACTTAAACAAACTTTAGAATATTAACCCATCCAAATGCATTTTGTAAGTACAATGAATAAAATAGCATTAAATAAAACATAGTGAATTAAATAAATATTAAAAAGAACTATAATTTTTAAGGAAACTTTTTATTATTAATGGGTTTAACTATTATTAGTAAGCATACCAAGTTTATTTATTCAAGCATAAAATGGCAAAGTTGGCATTCCAGTTATATCTGTGGTAGACTACAATAATCAGCATCATCCATGAGTTTTTTTTTCAAATAACTTAATAAATTTATAAACAAAATGAAATTTTATTTTTTGATAATATTATTTTTTATAATTTTAACTGCATGAAAAATTAGATTCTTATGCTACAAGTGGTACTACTTATACATTATCTTGGGCAAATTTTTACTGGTGTTTTCAATTTAGAATACCTTTATCAACTATATATTAGTCTAGACAGCTACAAATAGTATTGGAAAATTTATAGGCTCAGTGAGCCAAAAGAATGTGATGTATGAAGTCTACACTTATATTGCAGAAAGTTTGACTGTAAAGTTCACTTCCTGGGGGAAAAAAAAGAAAGGGAAAAAATATCTTTGATAATTTAGAATGACTTTGAGAATCTGTCTCTTTTATGAGACTATAAAGATCCAAAATTTTTATTTTTACCTCTGAAGCAGAAAACTAAATACTTCAGCTTAGTGATTTTCCAGGGCAAAGGAAATATTTTCTACCTTTTTTCTAATGCTGGTGTTTGTGTTTCACTTTGATATATGCCTAGTTGGGCATAATTTAAACATTTTGTTTAGATTAATGATAGCACTGGGTTTAGTACTTCATTGATAAACACTGCTTTATTTCAGTTCATGACAAGAGGATTTGTTTAGGAAAAGCAATAATTTTTCCACAGACTAAAAGTAACTACTCCTTTTTTCTGAAAAGTTGTTTTACCAAGTAAATTCTATTATCTTATTTATCCTTATTCAGTGAAGATTCTTGAATTTAGAATACTTAGCATTTGAACTAACTTCTCTTTGTAATGGAAATATATCCTGACATGATTTCAGACCTACTTCAATGTAATTTTCATCCTGTACTGTCTTTAAGTCTGTTTCTTTGGAGAAAGGAAAACAAAATCCCCAAAATAGTCATCTGTTCAGATTTTCTATACCTCAGGTATGTTTTCTTTTCGGCTTCTACCATGTGAGATTGCTTAGCACCCTTTTTCACTTTCTGGTCCTATACAGATGTAAAACTGCCGTCATGGATTTTAATGATTGGAACCTGATCTAAGGTTCTAAGACCACTTTCTCCTTCTACTTCTCTATTTACATGAGGACAGGGGAGGTAGGGTATATAAATTCTCCATGCCTACTAGGGTACAGGGTTCATCCAGTAAGAATTAGAAAACTGCCATGACAATGGGTCCTTCACCTTTTGGATCATTTCCCAGGCCCAGATTCTTAGTGATTTGTCAAGAACCTCTCTCTCTGAGTTGTAGGGAAGAGTATTCAGATGAATTGTATGTCCTTAGGATTTTTATTTAGAAAATATATAGAGCTGTGTATATGTATTTTCTATATGTTACAACTTAAAAAGTTTTATTTTTAGCTTGATGATGTCCCTTCTAGTTGTTAGGATTACAGTTGTTCATTATGCACTAGGGGAACAGTAACTGACTGCATTACCTAGAATAACTATCACCCATATCACTATTCTATTTTGTAAAATTATTGAGATTAGTTCATATAGTAAAAGGGAACAAGATTTATATATTTACATATATAAATACATTTACATATATTTCGTGTTTCCAGCTTTCTAAATTCAGGGCATAATTTTGGTGTACAGGATTAAACTGACACAATGCTAGTTATAACATGGGAAACAATTTCTCTTTAAATGTGATGCAGGATTTTATCTCCTCATCTTATATATTTTTAATGTATTACCATTTTCATCATTGTCAACAAAGCTTCACATGAGACCTTTGATTTGTAAATCAGGAATGATAATTACAGTTGCTTTATTTCTCTGATTTACTGTAAATGTAATTTGTGTTTTTGAAATTCTGAAGAGATCATAAAACTAAGGTGATATTTTTGGTAGAAAATACCTTGATACTAATAATAACCTTGCTTGTTTTCTAGCTACTACAATTTAGGTGATGTGAGCCATGATTCTGTAAACAAGTTTCTGTCCCATCTGATTGAAAAGTCCCTGGTTGAGTTGGAACTTTCCTACTGTATTGAAATTGGAGAGGTACGACTTGGTTATATATATATATATATATATATATATATATATATATATTATATATTCTAATTGCATAGCTTTTCAAAAATAGGGCTTTGGGTTCTAGTACTGCCAAATTTGTACCAAAACTTTTGCATTAGCAGCCTGCAGTATGAATTATTAGTTTTATGAAGATATGTAATTCCATTGTACTTTTTACTAATGTCATTTTTATCCTTTGGAACAGGATAATCGGAGCATTGAGCCTCTCACATATGGCCGAATTGCCTCCTATTACTATTTGAAGCACCAAACCGTTAAAATGTTCAAGGACCGTTTGAAACCTGAATGCACTATTGAAGAATTGCTGTCAATTCTGAGTGTGAGTTTCATGATATTATTGTATTGTTTCTGTATATTTCAGACTTTCTCTTTTAATTTGTCCTGAGTTTTTGCCATCCAGTTCTTGAAATTTGACAGAAAATGTTCATGAAGTCCTTCCTTCTGTCAAACAAGGCTACTACAAAGTTTCCTGTTTAGACCAATTTCCCCATACATAAAGGTGATTCCATAATTAATTTATTATTCAAACTTGGATCCTTCTATCAGTGGAAGGGCATTATTAATATTTAAGCCAGAATTAAAGGTAGAAGCTGGACTTTCCTGAGCAAGCCTTTGACATTGTAGCCTCTTTGAATTCAAAACTTTTCCTATTGCTTCTTTTGGATAGTTGCTGTTGAATACTTAACTATGATGTTATTGAAGTTTCTTTACTTAAAGATCTGCATGATTTAAGTCTTCTTAGAATTAATGCCAAGAGAGCTGTTTAAACCCTACTTCCAACCCCACCAAGTCCCTTTCCAAAAAGAAAAAAGAAGTTTCATATGGTAAAAACTATCCTATGACCATTTTTACATTTTTGCTTAGAAGCTAAACAATAGATTTAATATGGAAGTTAACGTTTTTATTACAACTCTTCTCCACCTACCTTTCTACATAGCATACACTTTATTTATCTATTTATTATTTTTTACTTTGTTGAACTGAAGTGTGTTAATTTGCCATTAAACTTTGTTGACATATTAGTCAAAGGGTGTGTGTGTGTGTGTGTGTGTGTGTGTGTGTTTTCATTATTTTATTCTTCAGGTGTACTGGTGCTTTTTAAAAAAAAAAGTTAACCCCATTCGAGTATAACATTTTTAAGGTGTTTCTCATCTAAATTCACTGATTCTTTGGTAGTTTGCTTATTAAATTTTTTTCCTTTCTCTCCTATTGCTTTGTTATTCATAATGAACGTTGATATCCCACTCACAGATTTTTAATTTCTCAATTCTTTCCCTCTAAGAAACTTCTGTATAGATTTTATGCCTACCATAAGGCCTGGAATATTATAATGAATCAGAACATGTTTATTAATGAATCAGTTGATGGATGGAAAGATGGATGAATTGATGCTGTATAAATTAGATGTTTGCTGTGTGTAGAAAAGAATATGATTTTAAATATATGATGCAGCTATCAAAAACATTGGTCTTTGAGAAATTAAAAGTTTATTTCTGAGAGTATTTAAAAATGTGGTGAATTTTTTTAGATTCCCTAAGGATGAGATTGTGTTGTCTCCTAGACAAAGATTCATAAAAATCGGATTTCTCTGGTGAGAAGACTATTAGAAAACTGCCATGACAATGGATTTAGAATGTTGTTAATGATTTTGGGTGTACATTTTAATTTACTCTCTCAGATTTGAGAATATAATTTTTATTTCATATTGTCTTAGTCCATTTTGTATTGCTATAACAAATACCCAAGTCAACCCATTTTGGTCATAATGGCCATTTTGTCTCATGATTTTGGGACTAAAATTTCCATACTAACATGGCAAATGCAGCACATATTTGAAGTATATGCAAGACCTGTGAGGGATATATGTAGAAGAGACCAAGCACATGGAATGACCACACATTATAGACACCTTTTCTTAAAATAACTTACCAGGTCCTGTGAAAACTATCCCACTTCTATAATACAGGCATTAATCCCCACCAAGACTGGTACTCCATGATCTCCTCCCATCAGGTCCCACTTCTTAAGGTCTCAACACATTTTATACTATTACATTATTTTAAAATATGTCACAGATTAATTTAACCAGTTGCTACCCTATTGTGCTAAAGAAGAAACAGAAGTGATTCCTTCACTCTATTTTTTAAGATTTTTTTTTAAATTCTTATTTTTAGTTGTTTATGGACCTTTTTTTTTATTTATTGATATGTGGTGCTGAGAATCAAACCCAGTGCCTCAAGCATGCTAGGCAAGTGCTCTGCCGCTGAGAAACAACCCAGCCCCTTCACTCTATTTTTGATGCACCTTATTTAACTTCTTTCTATTCTGCCTCTTTACTACCCTAACTAGTCTCTACTGAATCCTCTTCTACTTGTTCTATTTCAAGATTGATTAGTTTCCTAAAATGAGTAAAAACTGATGGTATTTTTCTGTGTCTGGCTTGTATGACTTAATATAATGACCTCCAGTTCCATCCATGTTGCTACAAATAGCAGGATTTCATTCTTTTTATGGTGGAATAGCATTCCATGGTATACAATTCCATTGTATGCCATTGTGTACCACATTTTCTTTATCCATTTATCCACTGAAGGGTATCTGGGTTGATTTCATATTTTGGCTATTGTGAACAGTACTACAGAAAACATGAGAGTGGACAAATCTTCTTGGTATAATGATTTCATCATCTTTAGGTATACACATGGTAGTGGAATTGCTGGATCATTTGGTAATTCTGTTTTAAGTTTTTTAGGACTATGCTTACTGTTTTTTCAATAATGGCTATGCTAATTTATATTATAACCAACAATGTGTAAGAGTTTCCCTTTTCTGCATTTTTTTCAGCATTTATTTTTTGTCTTTTCTATATTAAACACACAACTTCTTTTTAAGTAGAGATATAATTATTTTAACTTTATAATATTTATCAGATGCTACCTTTTCTTTCAAAAATTAAAGAAAGGATTTAACCAGGTCACCTTATCATATACTTTCTTTCAGTGTTTTGGGCACTGCAAGCTTCTATTTTTAAGCATTCCATAGCAGAAAGTACATAGACAGGTTTGGTAAAAATTCCATATAGATCCATTCATACCTCATCATATACATTTTTTTCTCTTATAAAACCTCTTTTGAGGCTTCTGTTTTCACTTTTCTTTCCTTGAAGTTAAACTCTTTCTGTCTTGCATTTTTTGATACTATGTTTTTTCCTCTATCAGTAGGATGGGTGGAATCAATCTAGTAGTTTCCAGAGTGGTATTATATTAATATCATGCTATTGACCAGTCAGAGGTGACAGCAACAGGTAGAGTCTGAGTTTACAGATAAAACTGAATTCTTCCAGATATAAGGATTTAATAATCAAGTTCTTAGCAAAAAGCGATTTTTCTAAAGAAATTACTTAAGAGTATGTTGAAGCTGATTTATTCTTTATATGTTATTTCCATTTTTTCATATTAAATATCTTGGCCACCCTCTTACCCACAAACAGTATAATGATTCATAAAAAAATATTATTTCATATCTTCACTGTGTAAGTCACTTTCTGAGGTTAGGGTATAGAACAGTTAATATTATTGACAAGCTTCCTATATAAATGTGTGTTTGTATGTGTGTGTGTTTCTATATACTAATACATAGAAAAACTGTGAGTCATGGTGATAAACCATGGAAGGCACTTGTGTATTGCTGATGACTCCAGTCATCAGCTCACTGTGATGCTCTAAGAATTGCAGTATAATGTTGCTCATAATTTAAAAAGAATATCTAAAAACAAAGCAAGGTGTAGTATTCTGTCCTTCATGTTGATCTTCTCTTTACAGAGTAGATTTACTATATATATTTCTGTTAGTCTCACATTAAATAGACCTCAAGAAGAAAATCTGAATGGCCCAAAGTGAGCTACTCGAATGATAGAAGACGTTTGAGTAGAGCCCTTTTAGTCTGAACAACAAAGGCTTTGAGGCAGTATAACCAAAATTAAAATAATGAGTCATTTGAATAGAGGCCTCTTTGTGTCTTGAACACAAATAACAAAAAGTGTGACTTTTTCACAGTTGATGGGTGGTTCTATCTGATTCTCAGAGAACTTAATATTTCAATTGATGAATATAGGCCAAAAATGTATTTTAAAAGGGTTGGAATAAATTTATTGAAACCTGCTAAAGAACCAAAAAGGAAATTGTGTTAGCCCCATTGTTATGAGATTCATTTCTCTGAAGACCAAAGAAGGCATAGATCCATATTGGACCTTCTTGGTCTTTGCATGGTTTATTCTCTTGGCCCTCTAGGTACTTAGGAATCTTTTTTATTCTCCAGAATATTATGAACTTTTTTTTCTTTTTGGCAAGTTGTTGTACTTTCGGGTACTAATTCTGGCTGATTGTTACTTTATTATATGAAAATCTTTATTCCAGCCAACATTGAAAATGAATAGACTTCGGCTAATACATTTTTTCTCTTGTAAAACCTCTTTTGAGGCTTCTGTTTTCACTTTTCTTTCCTTGAAGTTAAACTCTTTCTGTCTTGCATTTTTTGATACCATTATCTTTAAGTGATAGTAAAATATTCTATTCTAGGTATAAGGCCAAAGATCATACTGGGACTATTTCTTTTCTTTCTCTTTATTAATTGCATTCTACAGTTGTAACCCACTTAGTTAAATCTTGTCTTTCCAAAACATCCATTAAAAAATAATTTTTATTGAGCACCTGTCATGTTCCAGAAATTTTATATACATTATTTATAAGCATCAAACAACCCTTCATGGTAAGTGTTAACATACAGATAATGAGGTTGAATTATAATAAAATGAAGGTATTTTGTGTCATATAGAAAGATACATGTTAGATTTTTTTCTCCTATACCTACCCTTCTTTTTCTCCTTGATATATCTTATCTGTGACTCAATTCTAAGCATATATGCTTTTAAAAAATAAAGAATGGAAGTTGCTTTTAAAATTTATACCTAGAATCATAGGTATTAAAAGCAGATATTAATTACCTGAAAAAATAATTATTTCAGCATTCTTTATTGGAGACATATATTTTACATTTTAAACGATCTGATGCTATTTTGAAAAGGCTAGGTATTCTGAAAGAACCCTTGCCAAGTTTTTTTCAACACCATGCATTAATAAGCTTCATAATGAAGGCAGCTGCTTCACACCTCTATTGTTAACCAGTGACATTACATCTGTCTGGCTCCATTGATGCCCTCCTCCTACTTATTGAAGCATTTAGCAGTTTTGGCAACAGGGATTATATGGCTTGGAGTTAGTAGTCTAATTAGATATAAGTGAAAATCCTGAGGGAAAAGAA